TCTTCGCCATCTTTCACGATCAATCGCGATTTTCAACGTGTCATCATGATTTTTTTTCACTCGGATCACTTGCACGTTGAAGCGTATACTTCGAGGTTTAATCTTATGTACTGGAAGGTGAAAACGTTTCAGGTTAGTTAATATGAAGGTAGATCCATTCTCGAGGGATTAATTTCGGCCTTTATCACAAGATCAGTCGACATTTTCAATATATTATCGTCATTTCGTTTGAACAGGACCACTTGCATATTAAAGTGCCCACCTCGAACTTGAAATTCGTGTAATAGAAGTTGAAAAGATTACAAATCGATCAGAGGTATCAATTTCTGCTCGCGGCACGTCCCACGTTCGATAGGAATTTTTAATGTATCAATGCAATTCCTTTCGTTCGTAACAAATATCACAACCAGGGAACAAAGCACTTCCAGCAATTTCTCTGAAATCCGCTAACAGGAGAAAAGTATCATACACGCGGAACAAAGGCTAAATTATAAGCTACGCGTTTTCCGGCTCAGAGCGAACCGGGCGGTTCGCTCTTATACGAGTGGACTTAATCGGACCGGGAGCGGTGCAATTTTCGTCGCTGAAGTAATTGCCGGCATCGCAATTTGTAAATGCATAGCTGCGTTACGAATGGTTCCTTTCTCATTATTCAGCAACCGGGCGCGTGCGTGGGCGGAGCACTGGGTCAGCACCCCCCTCCGTCCCGCTACGCGCCTAATTATTTCTTTAATTTGACGAGAACAATGCGCCGCGTTGTTTGATAAACGGCGCGTTCCCATGCGCCGGGCCCGTTCCATCGTTAAACCTACGCAGGTACATACTTCCGCGCTAATTGCGAAAATACTTTATTAATCGAAAAACGCCACGGCGTCGAAGATAAAAAGAACCGGGACGGAACACGTTGAAAAATTGTTTTCGTCTCTAATGACATCGTCCCGTAGCACCGCACGAACCCCCGCAACGTGTTCTGGGTCGCGTAAATAATGAATTTCAATCCTTGGATAACGACGGTTACGTTTTCCAACGGAGAGTGTCGCGCGGGTGCGCCCTTTTCCGCCCGTCGCATCGCGTCGGTTGAAATATCGCGCGCGCCGACGCGCGTACGATAAAAATAGAAACGATAGTTCATCCGTCAGAGCGATAGCTTGATACATTTCATATCGGCCGGCCAACGCCGTTATTCCGTTGCTACCACTCCTACCCCAACCCCTACCCCTACCTCTTCCACTCAAGAAACATCTGTTTGTTATCAACGCTTCATAGTTATGGATGAAACCATCATTCGTATCTGCCAACTGGAGACCCGCGCCGGCTTCCGTCTCCACATGCCGCGTGTTTCCGAAGAAATTTGTCCGCGAGAAGAAAGGAGGATGGATCAGTGGTATCTGGCAACGGCGGAAAACAGCCACGGCTGTGTATCATTGTCATATTCCACTTAACGGTGACTTAAAGCGTCGCATATACACGAGATGCAGGGAAATGGAGACTTTGAGGAATTTGTTTTCGTGACTGATTCTTTCGAGCGAAACTTGCGACGCGCTTGAAAATGAAACGAAATGGTTTTTTTTTCGTTTTTGTGAACGGGGGCTAATGGAGAAAGTGTTTTTGGGGTAGATGGTATGTAAACTGATAAACGATATAATAAGTAATAACAATGGTGCGTTTCAATCGAAGCGACGGAATTTTCCGTTTCTGAAGCTGTCGCACTGTAGATAATGGAATGTTAGAATTTTCCATCTACGTTCTTATAATAATACAGCATTAGCGTAATTATAATATTATCACGAGTAAAAAGGGAAAGAAGGGGAAGAAAAGAAAAGCCAGAAAAGTCGTGTTAACAGGAACAAAAAGTTCTTTATAACCTGAGAAATATTAATTCATCAACTCGTGTTCATTGGAACTTTTATGCAATATTTAACCACTGATTACGTTATAAGCTACGAATACTCCCTTCCAATCAGCCTGTATATATTCCTAAAATATTCTTACACACTGCTCTATGTTCCCATTAATTTTTCGGGTGCAAATCCGGTACATTTTTACAACGCGAGAGAACTGAAACTTTTGGAACGGCTGATTTTTCCATAAAAGTATTCAATACTACGTATCCCCATGGGAGCGGCGGTAGAATTTCGTTCGCCGTCGACCTAACTTTTCCGATTTTAGAAAACAATAGATCGTTCGTTCCGGTATAATGCTAGAATAATGCTACTCGTTATACCTGGAGATGCAATCGAATATATCAGTAATCAGAATCGAGCGATTCACGCGCGGGAATCTAATATCACAGAGCTGAGGTGTGAATTCGCGAAAAATAGTGATCACAATAGCCGGGAGACGAGTTCGTTCGCCGGCATTCAGCGTGTGCGCCGCTTCGAACATTTCCCATTTTTGCGTCCATTAACGCAATCAATGCTTTATAACGCCGCGCGCGTTCAGCCTCGGCCAGCATTGGCGGGCGTTTCGTCGAAATAAAATTCTCGGCGTTAAACATTATTTACAAGGACGCGCGTGAATTCGACGATTCGATTGTAAAAATCGAATGAGCAAATAAAATCCGCCCCTACTCGGACAATATTTATATCTTTACCGTTGCAACGGCAGCGTGTTTTATGACGATTCACCAGGCCGCGCGCCGGTTAAATGATAAAAGTTGCCGCGGATAATGGACGAAGTCGTCATCGAGCGAAGAGATTCCCCGGGAAAATGGAAACAAACGACGGGGAAGGAAAATCGCGGACGAAACACACGGCGACTGGCACTCGATTTTTCACGTTTTTACAGATTCCGTCGGTTACCACAGCTCCGGAGTTGAACGTGGACTGTTGCAAGATGTTGAACGAGACTTCAGAGACTCGTAACGAGTTTGAGGAACGTCGGGTCCATGAAAGTATGAACATGGGTGCTTCGCGGAAACTTCAGGATAACGGACATTAAGATTCTTTCAGGATTGCTTCCGCGTCTTCCGAAGTTTCTTCTGCTTCTGCGCAACTTCTGTTATTAATTAAATTCATTTTCTGGTTTATTGCCCTTTTGGAACAATGCTCGAAGAATGGGAAAATGGTAATTTGGTACCGCGTGCCCTCGCAGCGGTTGGAGATCTTAGAAATATCGACGAAATACGAATTTTAATAGTATGCGATACGTTTTATGATTGCCCCGAGTTTACGATTCCTTTAAAATTCCCTATGGAAATGCACGC